GATGCATGAAATGTTAGATTTCTCAATTTATTATTTATAAAATTAAAATATTATTACATAATTCCTACTCTTCCCTTTCTTCCCTCCATCCTCTCTCATGCTACGCCCATTACTCCTTCTCAGATTCATGAACTATTTTTCTCTGATGGTTACTGTTACACTGGGCGGAAGGGGAGATGATGGGCATGTGTGCATGTGCACACACGGAGTGGGGGAGGGGCAGAGAAAGAAAAGTGGAAAGGAGAGGAGAAAAGGGAAAGAGAGAAATACAATCTGCCAGTCCATTTAGTGTTACATGTATGTGTGACTTTTGTGCTGACTACTTGGTATTGGATAAGCAATTAGGGAACTCCTCCACTGGATAGACTAATTCTCTCTCTCAGAAGGTCATTAGTTGACTACAGTTCTTTGTTGGGATGGAAGAGGGCTGTGAGATTTCCTTCCTCCACGTTAGCATGTCTATAGGGTTGTCATTGTTCAGGTCCTGTTCCGGCAGCCATATTGTATCATGGTATCACGGATGAAGCTTCTCTGTCTTTTCTAGGAGACACAATCTCACAGTCTTTCTGTGTTTCTGGCTTACAATTTTTCTGAACCCTTCTCAATGATCCATGATCCTCAGTGCAGGAGTCCTGTTTTAGATGGATATTTTGGGACTGGATATCTGTTGGGAGTGGACAGGTAGATCAGTTTTCTGCCTTTTGGCTGATTGCCGTTTTCTATTATGGTCTCTGTTACAAAGAGAAGCTTATTTGGTGAAGTTTGAAAGCTACATTTATTTGTGGGCAAAAGAATAAGTATTTTGATTTATGCTGTTCTAGCAAAGCAGCAGCAATAGATAATCCTCTGAGGTTCAAGAACTCACTAGACCCAAATAGTTGGCTAGGTTTCCAATAGGAATCATGCTTTCCCTCCTGTTGGGGTAGCCTTAAGTCCAATTAGTGAGTTGCTGGTTACTGCCAAGATATGAGTGCCACTATCTTGCTTGGTTGATTATTATTGTCATTTTTAGGCATCATGGCTGGGTAGAACTATTAATTGCTATTTATCTTTGGCAGCTCGAATAATAACTTCCAGAACTATGAAAGTAAGTCATCAGTGAGGAGGTTTTTTGGTCAGATCCAGCTTGAATCCTATGAGTCCTGTTTAAAGGATATTGTCTTCAAGAACTGGGTTTGACTTTCAATCTCTGGAAAGCAGCCAAGGGCCACAGGAATGGGTTTTGTTTTGTTCTCTTGACTCCCCTGACCAGTAACTTGAAAGGATATTTTTCATGCCTGGTGCTTGGTTTTCTGTTAGATTGTCTATGGTTTTTTGAGGGTAGCATTGTCAACTCAAAAGGTATAACTTCATTTACAATATATGTGTAAGTTTTAGGCAAATAGGAAATAATATGATTACTTACGTTTTTTTGTTGTTGTTGTTGTTGTTTTGTTTTGTTTTGGTTTTGGTTTATTGAGACAGGGTTTCTCTGTGTAGCTTTACGCCTTTCCTGGAGCTCACCTGGTAGCCCAGGCTGGCCTCGAACTCACAGAGATCCGCCTGGCTCTGCCTCCCGAGTGCTGGGATTAAAGGCGGGTGACACCACTGCCCGGCAACTTACGTTTTTTTAAATAGTTGATTTTTACCCAATAGGTGTCAATGACAGTCCTCTCAAAAGTGATAGCCCAAAATACTTTCAGACATTGTCCAATATATCCAATGTGTAAAATCAACCTGTTTAAAATCCAATGTTGAAAATCACTGAGTGAAATATTGCAATTAAAGCTTTGGCTAATTGTAACTATTAATAAGTTACCTTACTATTAATTCTATTAACTAATACTTCTTTACCTGATACTATGATTTCTGCATACCATAATATTATGATGATGATATAATTTCTCAAATGTGTTTATCTTGTAATACATTTTAAAGAATACATTAAAGTCATACAACAATGAATTAAAGTACTTTTGTATTTTTTAATATAAATGTACTTTACTTCTTATATATTTGCTTATTGGTTAATTAATTCCAATATTTTTTAGTCTTCTATAATGAAGGCTAAAGCCCAGAAGTTATTATAATCATCACATTTTTATTAAAAATAGTTTTTCTTCAAGCAATGAATTTTTATTATAGCTTTTCTTCTCCCTCCTCTTCCTAGTTCCTCCCTTGCTCTCCTCCTGCCCAGAGTCACAACCTTTCTATCTCTCATTAGGAAACAAGTAGGCATCTAAGGATAGAATAAAACAAAGTAATATAAATAAAAAAAACAAACAAATCAGAATAAGACAAAACAAGCAAACAAGAAAAAGAGCCAAGAAAAAGCATAAGAGATGCATATAGATGCAGACACAGACATTCACACACTTGGGAATCACATAAAAACCCCAAACCAAAAGCCACAATGCATAAGCAAAGGACCTGTAAGGTTAAACAAACAAACACACAAACCATTCTGACTTTGCATTAAAGACAAAGACCCTCCAATGATACTGTTGAGTTTGTTTTCTCTTGGCCATCTACTGCTGGGCATGGGGTCTGTCTTAGTGTTTCTATCATTGTGAAGAGACACCACGACCATGGCAACTCTTATAAAGGAAAACATTTAATTGGGGTGGCTTACAGTTCAGAGGCTTAGTCCATTATCGTCATGATGGGACATGGTGGCATGCAGGCAGACATGGTACTGGAGAAGAATCTGAGAGTTCTACAACTTCATCTGCAGGCATCAGGAAATGAACTGCGACACTGAGCATAGCTTGAGTATAGGAAACCTCAAAGCCTACCCCAACATTGACATACTTCCTCCAACAAAGCCACACCTCCTAACAGTGACACTCCCTGTGAGATTATGGGGCCAATTACATTTAAACTACTACAGGGCCTACCCTTAAGAATGATTTCTTTTCTTAGTGAGACTCCCTTGGAGAAAATTAATATTTCATTTACAAGTGGCTAACAACTGGACATAGCTTATGGGTTAAAGACGGGGCTGTAGGTCCACTTCTTTCAGCTGTAAGACCTCACCTAGTGTAGACCTCTGCATGCCCTGTGCACACTGTGCTAGTCTCTGTGAGTTCATATAAGCAACAGTCCTACTGTGTCTAGAAGGCCTTGAATCCTTGGTGTCCTCCATCCCCTCTGGACTTACACACTTTCCATCCCCTCTTCTGCAGAGTTCCCTGAGTCCAGGGGCTCCAGAGGGATTTGGTGGAGACCTCTGCTGTGGATATGTTCTATATGCTGTGAATGTGTTGCTCTGATTGATTGATAAATAAAACAATGATTGGCTAGTAGCCAGGCAAGAAGTATAGTATAGGTGGGACAAGAAGAGAGGAGAATGCTGGGAGGTGGAAGGCTGAGTCAGGAGACGCTGCTAGCTGCAGCCCGCCATGAGAGGTAAGATGTAAAGTACCAGTAAGCCACAAGCCATGTAGCAACTTACCGATTAATAGAAATGGGTTAACTTAAGATATAAGATCTAGCTAGCAAGAAGCCTGCCACGGCCCTACAGTTTATAAGTAATATAGGTCTCTGTGTGTTTAATTGGGTCTGAGCAGCTGCAGGAGCCAGCTGGACACAGGAAAACTCCAGCTACAGACCTCCCTTTCTGACTGAGTGTTATGACCATTGTCTTTAAGTTTCTAGTGTTTATTAGCCATATAGAAAAAATTCTTACTGGTTCTCTAAGAAAAATGATGATTTAATAATAAATTCATATATAGGAAGGACTATACTAGAGAAAATAGACAGCCAGTGTCCTGTCTTTGAGATCATTAAGCCCAACATACAACATAGTAGAGGGAATTGGCATTTATTGTATGTCACAAGCAATAGGTATAAAATATGAAAGAGAAGGGATCACTCAAAAACTATTACATCTAAAATTAATGTTACAAAGTGTGTTGAGTAAGTAAATCTTGTTTGGTGTCATATCCCTCCCTCTCTTCTGGTATCTCTTATAACACTGTTCATTCTGTTTCAATGTGTATGTAATTTAGAGGTTGTAAAATATTCCTGCCCTTTGTTCAGCAAATATACCGTATGCAAAAGCAGCCATACATTTGCTTACTTATTGTCCATTGATGATTTTGTGCTACAGAGATAGAGTTGAGAAGTGACAAGGGAGATGGTCTGACCCAGAAAGCTGAAAATATTTGCTATTTGACTCTTTGAAGAAAAATTTGTTGATTATGGTGCTAATTTAAAAATATTCAGATTAGAATATTAGATTAAAAATTCTTCAGCGTAAGAAAGAACCATATCATTACTGTGTCTGTTCTTACTTATTTGGCCCATATTCAAAATTTTAAGTGATACTTGCTATATAAAGGGAGACAATAAGGAAAGGAAAAACAAAGAAACATTAAAGAAACTACAGAGTCCAGGAATAAAATATAGACTTCTATAAGAAACACTATTTGACTGATCCGAGTGAGAAACACCTATAATTAAACCAAAAAAAAAAAAAAAAGAAAGAAAGAAAAGAAAAGAAAAATCCAAGTGGAGCTGCTGATTTTATAAGTTTGAACTGTTCTAAGATATATTTTAGTTTCCTTGCCACGGTTCAGAAGCCTACTTGCTGAGAAGAAGGTGACCATGACTCATAAAGAAATTCACAAAGCATGTGTGCATTGAGCTAAGAGCAAATAAGGTCTATTTTCTTATCTCCATTCAACTGTCCAATGGGAAATAAAAGCATAGCACACTTAGCCTCTGAGTTCACAGGTCAAACCTCTAGTTTATAGGTTAAATACAGAAAATGATCAGAAGGCAGGGCAGTACAGATAGATTTCAAGATCTGCTGCATTTGTAATATGGTTTTACTGTCTCTGGTGTTTTCTTGGTCTGACTTCATGCTCATCATGGCTTTGCTATGTTTATTTTGAAGCCTAATATTATACATCATCCATTTGCTTCTCTTTATATTGTCATAACTGCAGCATGCTAACTTGACTCCATTCCAAGGCTTTCTAATTTTGTTTGGATACCTGTGTTTCTTGTTATAGTACCTTACCTGGGCCTGAAACCCATTGCCTTCTCTCTGAGTTAAGCTATCTCCAGCCCCATGCTTGGGACCTGTACTGAACGAAGTGTATTTTATTATACTCATCAGGTAGGTTAGTTCCTTATATTCTTTTCTACCATAGAACTTTACCATTTTATGAGACACAATGCTTCCTAAGGAAATCATCATTATTTGGCTTTACAGTCACAGAAAACTGAAGTTTTATTTTAATATCTAGGACTTGTTGCCTACATCTAAATGCCTACACTTCTATACACATGACAAAAAGTTTCTACTAAATGTAGAAGTTTTAGAGAAAGAGTAGTTTCGTGAAAAGGCCTCCTTCGTACACTGCCACTTAAGTCAGCAACAGAGACTGTAAACGGAAGCTGGTAGAAAGCACCAGCAAAGTTAAAGAGAAAGCTTGACAGGTTTGAAGCAAGCTATTGGAGTGAGCCATAAATCGGGGCTTTGTGAGCAGTCAGGAATCCTGCTAGATTTTCGGCAGGGCAGACGAGGCTACAGATGGGGGACCATCCTCACATAGGCAGGTACTCAGGTATCAGTACTGATCGCACCACAGACTACTCAGGGAATACAAATGTAGCAAGGGTATTGATAAAATCAAACTAAGAGGGGGAAATTACTGGAGAAAAAATTGTGTTATCAAAAATAGTTCTCACTTGAAAATTTACGATATCACAAAGTCAATATAAGTCTTCATAAAATAAACTTCCTTGTACATTACATAAAGATAGACTTAAAATGTTATGTGACATAGAAACTATGAAGTTAATAGATTTAATTATAGGGGAGCAATTTCAATGTGCAGGAACATTGAGAATCTTATTAAAAATTTAACACAACGTATTATGAAGCAATGAACTGGTTGTGTTGAATAAATTCATCAAAGTAATTTTTTGTTCAACAAAACCCACTTTTGACAAAATTGACATGTTATTCATGAACCCCAAATAGTTATGGACTAGAATGACTATTATTATAGCTGAAGGACAAGTGAATGGCTTCTGCATGTCTAAATTGCACTGTTGATTCCTGGTCTGAATGTCAAAATAAACTACCTTAAAAACCTATAAATTCTGTTACTCAAAACTAAAATATAGACTTCCAACTCTGAGAATTTTTTTTTCTATGGTGGCAGATATACAAATGAGAACTTACTTCAGATTTTCTGATCCTTTTTTTTTTTCAGTTTTTTTTGTTTGTTTGTTTTGTTTTTCATTTTTTTGTGACTGGGTTTCTCTGTGCAGTGTTGGCTGCCCTATTACTTGCTCTGTAAACAAGGCTGGCCGAGAACTGAAAGATCTGCTTCCTCAATTCCGAGTGCTGGGATTAAAGGGGTATGCAGCCACTGCCCAGAATGGTTAGTAATGACAATGTATGGTTTCTGCAATTTCCCTTTGAGTCATGATGTTGATTTCCAAGGCATGTTTTTCTTTCATCACTTTTATCACATTTTTTCAGACCTATACACTTATTTCTAGAGATTTCTGAATGTTTTTGAGCCCTGCTATTCATGGCATGATCTTCAATCACACTTTCAAAGTAGGCAAATTAAGCCCATGTGTCCAGAACATATTCTTACCCTCAAGGCAGGCATCTGATTGACAGCCCAGAGAGGAGTTGCCAGGTGATGATCAGGCTGTATTCACAAACAGCACAAACAGCCTAAAAGGTATCTCTCTTGGCCAGGTGTGGACTTTCAGACTGGCTCGCCCCTAATGCTTCTGGCTCCAGAAGACTGCCCAAAGTCTACTCCACGTCTGAGGTTGGGTCATCCCAGAAGGAAACCCTGAGCCAAAAATTTTAATGCAAGTGATTTATTAAGGCGGTGATCCCAGGAGGACAGCATAATGGAATCCAGAATTGGGAGGAAGATGAGTCAACAGATGGGGCAATTTCAAGTGAAAACCCAACATCAGCCAAAGTCTATGAAAAGCTATGGAAGAGAATCTCCACATCAGTTTGTCATGTCTTGAAGCAAAGGACCTCACCTTTTACTTCTTTACCAATCTCTTCAAAAAGACATAATTTCGACATTTCTCTAGGTGAGTGCTCAATTGGTCCAACAATCCTTTCTGTCACCCATGTGGTTTTTCTCCTTGATTTTCCTCCGAGAATCATGCATTTTCCTTTCTAAGTATCAAGCAGGGAATTCAGGAAGAATTTATGAGTTCCAATACACAAGCAAGTACTAAAAGCTATCACTATTAGTATATGTAGAAATAGTTATAATGGATGTGTGAATGTACTGACAGACTTGACTGACATCACATTCAATAGTGAGATGCTTGTGATTTCTATAGGAGTTCTGGGCCATGTGTTTTCTGGAGTTGTGTAATATAGCAGATAAAAAAATGTAGGCTTCCTGAATGGGACTGGACTAGGCCCTCTGTATAGCAAGAGAGTTGTGTAGATTGATCTGCTTAAGGACCCCCCTGGCAGTAGGATCAGAATCCAATCCTGGTGCATGAGCAGGCCTTTTGGAGCCCAATACCCCTGATGGGACACCTCACACAGCCTTGAGGCAGGGGGAGGGGCTCAGCCCTGCCTCTACTGAATGTACTTCCCAGTGGGAGGCCTTACCTTCTTATAGGAGGGAGTGAGGGTGGGTTGGGAGGGAGAGCCTGGAGGGGTGGGTGGATGGAAGAGGGGGATCTTTGATTGGTATGTAAAATGAATTAAAAAAATTCCTTAATAATAAAAAATAATAATTTAAAGACAAAAAAAATGTAGGCTTCGAAGTCATGAGACATGATAGGGTAGGCAGAATTATAAAATGATACCCAAGAACTGTCTCCCAGAATCACTTCCTAAGAACCATGCTTCATACAATGTAATAATTTAAAAAAATCAGTTATGAATTAATAAGATGTGGGCAGGAAGATTTTACTGGTAAACTAATATATTCAGGTAGATTCCTCACAGAACTTTTTGATAAATTGTTAGTATGGCTATATGTTGATTTCTGCCTGAGGAGACCCCAAGCAAAAAATCTGAAGCAAGTCCACCTGGAAGCATAACCTAAGGATATGTGCATTCTTTTTTTGTTTTGTTTTTGTTATTGTTTTCAAGACAGGGTTTCTTCGTGTAGTTTTGGTGCCTGCCCTGGATCTTGTTCTGTAGACCAGGCTGGCCTCAAACTGACAGAGATCCACCTGGCTCTGCCTCCCGAGTGCTGGTATTAAAGGCATGGGTCACAGCTGCCTGCCATGAGTTCGCAAAATAATCTGACTTTGCTGCTGTTTGTGACTTGTTATGCAGCAGTAGGACTACTGTACTGTACTAAGTCTGTAAAATTGTAACTTCAGAAATGATGTAATTGCACATTTGCCCAAACAAAGCCACTGTAACACACCATCTTAAACTCTTGGATTCAATCACAGAAACCTGTTTGAAGTTAGTATATCAAATCAAGGTATTTGTAGAACTGTTCTTTAAAGCAACCTCAGGGGAGAATTAGTTCAATGCACGTTCTGTCTCCTCTTGGTTATTATATAATTGGATGGTGGCCCCTTCACTCCAATCTCTGTCTCCACTGTCCTTTTTTGCCTTCTCCTCTTTGTCCTCTTCCTTGATATCTTCTATCCTCTTCTTCCCTCCACAACCTTCTTTTTCTTTTTATCTTTCTCTCACACAGAGAGACATTATCCCTCTACACATGTAAAATCTTAGAACCATCTCTTATAAGTTTTCATGCCTTTGTATTTTGAGCCCACCTAAATGATTCCGGGTCATCTATCTATATGAAGATCCTTCTTCACACCTACAGTCTGTAAGGAATCTCTTCTTCTTTGAGGGGAAGGGAGAACTTATGATATTCACAAATTCCACATGTTCGATCATGAATAACATTTGGAGGATGTCAGTTTTCCACCTGCATTGTGAAGAGTCAACCAAAATCATTTTAGATTTTGGTGTCCTCATTGAAAATCTGGGAATGAAATGCATATTTCAAAGGTTTAATATCATCAGAAGTAAAATCACAGAAAATAATAAAGTGCCTGAGAAAGAATTGACATTCAATGGTGATAATCCTTAATGTTAACACAACAGTGAACCAACGGGGCCAACGATGTTAAAATACACACATATTTAAATGTTCGAGGGCAGAATTGTAAGACTCTTTAACATGGAGATTTAAATTAATTTTTCTTTACTACAACCAAGAAATTCATAATCAGATAATACTTGGTACTAGAAATTGTCTATTTATTAGATATGACTATTTCAGAAAATTGTGAAATATCTGCTTCCTTCTTACCATTATAAGGCAGCTGCATTTGACCTCAGCTGTGGGTGTAAATTCTGCTACATGCCATGAACTCTACTGTTTAACAGGATATGATCAGACAAATCAGACATGATCTGCAGCTGAGCCTCACAGCCTATACTAGAAGAACAAGAGCGTACATGGCATCTTCTTTCATGCACAAATAAATAGAGTAATTGGGTTACTTTAATTTTATAAGATCTCTATCCAAACTTGAAAACAAATATCACTAACAAACAGTATAAAAAAAAAAGATAAAGTACTAAAGGCAATCATCAGATTCATGGTCAATGAAATGAAAATAATATGGTACCCCTAAATGTTTTGTTAGTAATAGTGTCCATTGTTTTTCACAATATAACATCCTTAGGAAAATCAGCATGAGAAAAAGTCACAATCATTTGTTTCTTTTTCCCTCTGTCCAAACAAAGCCCCTTTTCTCCTGCATCTCACAGCAATGTTGCAAGGAGCTCTCTGGCATTCACAGGACAGCTGTGAACTCTTGGGTAGTCTGCAAGCCCTGGGAAATGCTCTGGGAAAACTCAGGGATCCTAATAACATGAATGTCTCTGATTGGCTTTCCTTTGCTTTAAGTACTTTTATCATCCAAGCCTAGTATGTAAGGCCTTGCTACCTGTGTGGGCAGTGACCCTGGAGTCAAGTTTCCATATAACACAACACAATGTCAGTGGCTGTGAGTCTGCTAAAAGCAGACAAAACATTTGAAAAGTTACAGAAATGGCTCCAAGGAACCCCCCCCCACACACACTCCTCCCCATCAATTCTTACTATTTTTTGGAAATACTAATTCTGAAACCAGTCTGAACAGTCAGTTTTGTGATGTTACGGTTAGCTATTTCTATCAGCATTATTATAGCATCAGTGCATTTTTCAGCAAGTCCCAACGTAAGAGTTCTCCTCTCATCATTATGTCCCACAGGTATATCTAACAGAATATTAGCATGTGAGGACTGGAAAAAATACAGTAAAATTAAAATACACTTAAATTATTTGCTATTATGATAAGGTTTATTCTTCATTTGGAGGCCAACTGTCAACAAAATCAACTGGCAAAATAACATACAAGCCGGGAACATGTTGGATTTTAATATTTGAACTCTGACTCTGTGGTAGTTTGAACATATTTGGCCCCATAAGGTCATAGGGAGTGGCACTATTAGAAGGTGTGGCCTTGTTGGAGGAAGTGTGGTCTTGTTGGAGGAGGCTGGATGATACAAGCCTTTAATCCAGACCTTGAGGCTGGAGGGCATACCTTTAATCTGGGCTTTGAGGTCTTTTTCTTAAGCTTCACTCAGTGTGACAGTCAGTTGATTTCCTGTTGCCTCAGAGTCATGGTGTACGACTCTCAGCTCTAGCACCACATCTGCCGGCATGCCACCATGCTCCCCACCATGATGATAATGGATTGAACCTTTGAAACTCAATTAAATGTTTTCTCTGTAAGAGTTGCTGTGGTCATAGTGTTTCTTCACAGCAGTAAAACCCCAAAGTAAGACAGACTCTTTGAATGTGGTAAGATGGAAGTACTTTATCTTTCCTATTTCACACTTTATAAAGCAGCTCAGAATAGCTGGATATGCAGCGTCATTTGTATTCTTTATATAACTGTGGGGCGTGTGACTTCCAGGTACAGCATTCTAGAAGATACTATGTTATACAAACAATTAGACTGGAGTAGACTCAATTCCAAACATTCTGTTGGAGTGTGACTGCCACAGCCAGTTCCCAAATAATAGAAAAATTCATTAATGATTTTGACATTAACAAAATAGATTCAATAACTCATTTTTTTTCTCTTGAAGGAAAAGGTAGAAACAATGTCTCATCACCTGCTCTTCCTTTCTATGTGTGGTCTAGACAAAAATGTAAGATACTAGAAGATCATTTAAAATATGAGAACGATCTGGGTGTGGCAGTACACATCTGTCATCCTAGCACTTGAAAGGTGGAGTAAGAAGGAGCAGGGACTTAAAATCACTCTCTCCTGGACAGTGAGTCAAAACCTAGCCTGGGGTATGTGAGACCTTGTATCAAGAAAGAAAGGTAAGAGGAGAAAAAAGATGGGACAGAGTAGGAATTTAATGGTCTTAAAATATGTGTAGATATCTTAACATTTTTAAAGTGGCCCATACATCCAATTAATGGTTTAATGATCATTATAGAAGGGATTATTCTAGGTTATGCAGAAAACTATAAAAAGTACAAAGCAGCTTTGCAGGTTCGATACCTCCTGTTTTCTCTTCCTTTGAACCTAGCTCCACATGAACAGACGCTAGTGAAGGGCAGACTGGAAAGAATGATTAGAGATATCAAAATTTGTTTCATGAAACATTTTTTGTCTCCTGTAAACTGAGTATTTTTCCTTTAATAGCAAGGTAAAAACATTTTGAAATTCATTCATTTTGTATTTCATTTCTTGAACAAAGGGAGCAATTTAATGTCATAGTTAAACATTGCAGTTTGTCAGTCAATATCATATAAAATTTCATTCTGCCTTGAATAAACCATAATTTTGCCACCCACCCAAAGTGAAAAATAATACAAGTGTTCATATCATATCAAATCATATATCCAAAAGATGTGAAGCTCACTGACTCAAACCAGAAGTTAAAATTTGCTTCTGTAGTGGAGAGCCTATGAGGCTCAGTGCCATGCAGCCGGCAGAGGCCAATTTCTAAAGCTCTCAGGATAGATGAAAACTGCCCACATGCCTCTCAGAAAAAGCACCACCACTTCCATTCTGATCTAAGAACT